TTGCCACAGCTTGACCGCTCCTCTGTGGCCGCATGTCTTCATTGTGAGAGGTAGCAGGGCGTTTGTCAGGCTATCACACCGACAGCGTAGTGCAGCCTGATAGGATCAGTCCAAGGTGATCGAGCCATCCAAGCGTTTGTCTCGGTACAAAGCATGGCGAAAATGTCGATGAAGACATCGAATCATTGAGTTGTCTCCCTGACGATCGGTATGTCGGCGGGCAAAGTGTTGTTCTCCACTAAATAGTGGTATGTATCCTCCCGATGGGCTTCACATGATTGCTATGCTGAATCATCATTCGGGCATCGACGCGACAATGTGGGTGGGGGAGGGCTGTTGGGTGAGGTTTGACAGCTCGGTGGCCGAAGTTCGAGGACGCGACGCGTGTGCCAGCGTCCGCTGACGTAATGACGCGAGTCCCAAAACGCGCTACAATCTCGCTAACCCCAGCGAGCTGATCACGTGCATGGCCCGAAGTTGTAGAACAGAGAGGAGTGTAGAATGTATTGATTGTTCTATGTACGAAGGAGTGTGCCCCTGTTTATATAGGGAGAAGGAAGCGCTAGTGAGTACGCTAGTGAGTGAATCACGTGAGAGGATGCCTAACCAACAGAAGTCCGTCATCACCGCCCGGGCGTGCAGCAGACCTTATAGCGACCTCTCGACTTCATTCTGCTACGATGACACGACCATCTACATACCCCGACAACCACTCTTACTATCGTGCCACCAGTGCAGACGCCGATGCGATTCCTCCCCCTTGCGGCACCACGTCGTTCGGGTGACCCAGACTCATTTCCGCACTCGAACCCCCATTCCCTCTTATGCCCACAAGCTCCGGCAACGATGATAGATCGAACGGTATCCGCTTCTTTGTACTGGTGCCAGTATGTTGTCGTTGCTTCCGCCGATGAAGGAGCCAAACGGGCGCACACATGGCCATCAACAAAAGAATGGCAAAGCCCACCGCGATGCCAGCGATTGCGCCTTTCGGTAGTGGCGATTTGCTTGATGAGTCGGGGTCGGAAGGAGTAGTTTCTGGCGCCGGCGAAGGGAAATTCAAGGAGCAGGAAGATGAGCCGTCCGATGCCGTTGAACACTCGGGTGTAGGCAAGATCAACTGGATTTGCCTGGCGTCGACAAGGTTGCGCCATATTTCGTCAGATAGAGTCGTGGTAGTAGTGACGGGAGCTTTGCCTTCAACGCACACGACCTCTTCTAGCGTGGTAACGTCCGTGCCGGGAAGGCTGAAGCAACCCTGTTCCACTGCCAGGTTCGTGTTCCCTGCGTTAGTACGGTAAAAGCTGTACCGATAGGTCAATTAGTTGAACCTGTCATGCTGTTCGTACATGAGAAGAACTTACGAAGGACAGCATGCGACTTGAGTGTAAGTAGAAGGTGTGCTGAAAGTCCTCCGTGCTACATCTACCCATCCTTCTGGACATTGATTTGCCGGTGAATACAAGAGGTTTGAGTGGGTAGAGAGATAGGGGCCGAGCCAGTGTGTTCCTGGCGGAAAACATTCACTTGCTAGAGTGGGCTTGCCATCAGATCCGCATGTCCGGTCTCTTTCCCACGATGCACAGCTGCTGCTGCCTTCTGTGTCACACTCTCGAACGGGAAGGGAACAGTAAGCTGGTGCGGCGAAGGGCGTGATCAGCGACCCGTACGGGGCTGTGGGGTCTGGTGTTGTTACGGGCGACGACGATGTGCGGGAAGTGGTGTCTACGTTGCTGGACAGGGAGGATGATGTTGCTTGTTCGCTAGCAGAAGACGATGACGATGATGTAACGGGCGAGTCGGCCATGTTGCGGATAAGAGAGGATGATTTTTCGCTACGAGAAGACGACGATGAACATATGGGGATCGAAGGCACCCGTGCATTCATATGCAACGCATGGCAACGGGAATATTATAATGCGGCGCATGACACCGTCGGCTGATGAGAGGACGGTCAACGGTGTGACGAGATTCGCAAATGTTGCTTGAGTTCCGCGCCGTATGCTGCGCCGCACATCTGCCCATGCGTTAAAGCGGGTGAGAGATTGATCCTTGGCAACCAACCTTGCCGGGAATCTTATGTTATTTATATGACGATGATTGGCACAAAGGATGATCAAACGGAGCTGCGGATGCGCAGTGGAAATATACGCTCGGCATGACCGACCCGCGAAGCTGTCGTGGATATCAAGATAGATAGAGTGCGCCTTTGACTCAGACTACGATCTGGTCCAAGCCGTTCGGCTGCTCATTGAGATGGTACTAGGGAATACGGTATGATTGTGATAGCTCTGATCTTATTCGCTGAAGTGCTGTTCTGCATCTTGGTGTTGCCACAAACGCTCGCCATGCCTATCGCGAAACTGCTTGCGAACTACGAGATAGCCTCGCTCAATTTGCGACTGTTGCGACGAAGTCTGCAGTATCAACTATGGCTAACGCCTTTATTAGTATAGCTATATTCTCTGTCTGACTATAAGCAGAGATGGTTCAAATGCAGATGAGTTTTGCATCAGACACCGCACGTCACTAGATCCAGCAAGACGGTGCCGAACAAAAGCCTCATAGCAAAGGATCATGAATACGAGGGAGGGAAAGTTCACTCGGTCTCGAACGACCAAGTGGTCAAAATACCTCGCTCTTTGCTGAATAGTATGGGTATCAATATAGTAACAAACGAAGAATAAATCCAAGCCATGAAAACCCATCAACGCCCTGGTGTGAGCGCTGTTTCCAATCTCGGCGACCTAACCTCCGGCTGTGGATGAAACAAACCATTCGAACTCGCCATCTGTGTAGGCGGAGAAATCGTGCCATGGTTTCCCACAAACTCAGGTAACGCGTCGTGCTCTCCACTCGGGCTAGCCTTCGGTATCGGCGCGTGGTGATGCTGATTTTGGCGACGACGCCATAAGAAGAAGAGTCCACCAAGGAGTGCCAGTGCGGCGACCGCGCCCACGGCGATGCCGACGATGGGGCCAGTACCGAGACGACGTGATTTGGGTTCTGGGGAATTGGCAGGTGGTGGGTTATAATCAGGAGGACCGAAATCTAATGTTGGTTCGCTGAGAGGGGTGAATGTCGCCTCTGAGGCCAATGCAGTTGTAAGAATCACTTCCATTTTCGCGGCCCAAACGGCTGTGTTGCCGCTACCATCTTCGCTGGTAAACCATTCAGAAGCCAAGCTTCCATCCGTCTGGCAGGCCAAGACCGAAGTCGAATTGGCGGTCCAGGTGATCGAACTGGTACAACTCGCGAAATAATAAGTATGCGCCGAGTAACCGCTGATAAACAACGTCAGTGACTGCGAAACATGCTGGCCAGAACCTACTCACGATGGACAGCATACTGCGGTGGTCTGGCTTGACGAATCTATAATCTGACTTTGCGTTGCCCACCCACCAGGACATCCTGTAGCCGGGGAGTATGTCAAGAGCGAGTATGGGAATGGACTGCCTGGAAAGCATTCGCTAGCACGGGTGGGGCGTCCATTTGAACCGCAGGTCTGATCGCGCTCAATGAACCCACAACTTAGGGTAGGTGTGCCAGTTGAAGTTCCACTAGACGGTGTCTCAAGAAAACATGACGACTTGACAACGTTGTTGCAATAAGACGGCGGAGTGAAAGGGGTCATAATCGAATAGGAGGGTGTCGCTCGCGTGAAGGAGGAACTGAAGGAAGTCGTCATGGATGCGGTTGCGAAATCGGCCATGGCTGAGGTCGGAGAGGCGATGAAATCGCGTACCACTGCAAACAGGTCGAGACCAGCAGCGAGCATTTGTAGTACTCACAAGGCATGGGAAGGATGAGGTCAAAGCGCAGCCCTGCTCCGCCGCCCCCATGCTCCCGTTGTGTGAGACCATGCAAGCCTCGCGAGTTGCTTTCCTCTCTCCAATGAGGGTGTGGGTCTATCAACAGGCGCGTGCAGACAGCATGCATTCCGCGGTGCGCCTTAAGCCACTTTAGGCTCATTGGGTCTTGCTAGGATCTTGAGCGAGATTTCAATAAGGACATGGCGTTGAGTCGCTCGCCTGGTTTGTTTTCGGCGTGTTGAGGACAAAGCATCCAGGCAACCTCCGACGGCATCGTGGTTGACGTCTGTAGTATGAACGATGAATTAAGAGTATGACTGTGAAAATGCTACGCGACGTATGCAAGGCTGACCACCCTTACCTTTTGACAGCGCGATTCGCGTTTAGACTTGCCTTGTGGGATGCGGTGTGCGGGCAGTGATGGCGTTTGGGGGCCAAATTTCCTTTGACAGCATAACAACTAGGTGGCACAGTTACCAAAACATTGGGTCTCGATGCTGGCTGTGGAGGCTGTGTTGCTCATGCGCTCCATCCCAAGCAATAGCATACCGCCTATCAAGAGATTGCGATAGGAACATTGTGTATGTTATAGGCAAGGCGATTTGGAAGACCGGCGTATTTTCTGCGCGTCGTCGTTTTGCCAAGGAATCGTGGCGGTACATTCGGGGCAATTGGGCAATAACGCGAAGCAGAGGTCGCAAAATCGCGTGCGCATGTGTGCGAAAGTTCGCCATGATTGGAATGAGATGGAGGAGAGATGGAGTGTCGTTCAGCAGCGGTTGAGTTGAGATGAGGTTGGAGTTGTGTAGTGCAAGGCTAGAGGCTCAGGCAGCGTGGCGGCGAATTGCGGGGAAGGCGCGACCAGTACTGCAGCCCCCGACGTCTGTGGATAAGCAAACCTTGATACATCTGATCTTTGAACTCTGGCTTACGAGAACATGGGCTGATTAGTATACTCAACACTGTTGTTGAGTGAGCAAAAAGGCCCGGCCTGGCAAGAGGGCAATTGCCGAGAGAACGTGACCTGGCGATATGTGGCTCCGAGATCCTCGGCCCAGCCGTCGCGACTATTTTGCCCCACAAGTTAAGTTAAGAGCTGTCTCCGCCTCCGCATTCACTCGCCAGCTCCCCTAAACATCGCCCTCTTCTCTCACAAACCTCAATTAATCGCCCCTCTCTACCTTCACAATGACCGACCGCCTCAAGTCCATCGTTTCGCACATGACGCCCTCGGCCAGCGGCATCTCGGCCCTGTAAGCTCCACCCGGACAGACATGACACGTGAAGAACGCGCGGCGGATGATAAGGGAAGAATGCAGCGCTGACAGCCATCGACAGTACCACCAAGAACCCCGACGATGTTGTCATCACCCTCGCCTTCCGCACACCCCTCACCAAGGCGCATAAGGGCGGCTTCAAGGACACGACCCTTGACGGCATCCTCGTCAAGACGCTCAAGCAAGTCGTCGCAAAGTCGAACCTCGATCCTGCCGTAGTAGAGGACATCTGCGTCGGCAACGTCTCAGATGCCAAGGCTGCCTACTATGTCCGCGCTGCTATGCTTGCCGCTGGCTTCCCCAACACCACATCCGGCTCGTCGCTGAACCGCTTCTGCTCGTCGGGACTCAAGGCCGTACAAGACATTGCCAACCAGATCGCCGTCGGCAGCATCGAGTGCGGTCTCGCCATGGGCGCTGAGAGCATGACAGCCGGCGGCGACAGGCTCGAGAGGCCGTTCGTCGACGAGGTGCTCGAGAACCAGGAGGCGAAGGACTGCATGCAGCCCATGGGCCAGACGTCGGAAAACGTCGGCAAGGACTTCAACATCTCGCGCGAGCGCCAGGACAAGTACGCTGCCGAGTCATACCGGAGAGCCGAGGTTGCGCAGAAGGCGGGCTGGTTCGACGACGAGATTGCGCCCATCACCACCCAGATCAAGGACCCCAAGACAGGCGAGGTCAAGACCGTCACCCTGACCAAGGACGAGGGTATCCGCGCCGGCACCACATTCGAGAGCCTGCAGAAGGTCAAGCCTGCCTTCCTTCCCCACGGCGACCGGTCACACGCCGGAAACTCGTCGCAACTCACAGACGGTGCCGCTGCCATCCTCATGATGAAGCGCTCCATGGCCGAGAAGCTCGGCCAGCCCATCCTCGCCAAGTACGTTGGTGCCACCGTCGCCGGTCTGCCACCCAGGATCATGGGTATCGGCCCATCCGTCGCCATCCCCAAGCTCCTCTCCAAGTTCAACATCACCCTCGAGGACGTTGACCTTATCGAGCTTAACGAGGCTTTCGCTTCTATGGCCGTATACTGTCTCGAGACACTCAAGATCGACCACCAGAAGCTCAACCCAAGGGGAGGTGCTATCGCGCTGGGTCACCCGCTTGGCTGCACCGGTGCGCGTCAAATTGTCACTGGTCTGAGCGAGTGCAGAAGGCAGAAGAAGAAGGTTCTGCTCACCAGTATGTGCATTGGTACTGGTATGGGTATGGCTGGTTTATTCATCAACGAGCAGAACGTGTAAGATATTTAGTATATAGCGTTGTGTATGAAGCCATTTTCAATTGTCTGCATCAATCTTCATTCACCTTCCCCGGCACATGCGTATTCAAATCCTTTCGTGACGTCCTGCCTGCATCACTCAGCCTAAGCCAGGTGCACCTACCCGATCGCTTACTGTTCGATCGTTTTGTTGGCTGGCACGAGACTTCCGAGCAAGAACACGGAACGTAGTTTCCTTCTTGGGAGGGCGATTTCGTGTAGTCAACACCTCACTTTTCCTGTTGAATCATAACCACAGGAACCACGCATCCGCTCCAAAGGCCATCTCAATTTCGGCAAGCGCAGCATCACAGATTATCTTCCGGAATATCAACGCCAAGCCGCAAGTCCCCAGAACCATGGTACGTCAGGAAGCTGAGACTTTAAATCCTGCTTCATCAAGGGGTCCCTCTGCATACCATCATTTCTTAGGCCTACCTGCACCTCACGAAAGCTTCCGACGTATCACCTGCACATTATCGGCGCGCGCACAACACATCCTCTTCTCTAAACACACGCAACAAGATCTTGAGAGACACTATCAAGACTATCAAGACATGTCGGATAACAGCAAAGACACTGTAAAAAGCCCTAGTGCGACGGCGAGCGTTCCGAGACGCGCAATCCCCGAAACAATGTACGACCGCGCCAAGCACCTCCCCGAGTACAAGGCCTGGGTGGCTGGTGGTGGTTTGGCGCGATTCGCCCATGAACAAGATCTGGAAACAGATTTTGTAGATCACATATTCCGCACCAGCCCCCAGGTCCAGATTGCGTACGATAGAATCCTCCGAACGATGCCCAGCCTATTGCAGGAGATGACCCGGGACATGAGGCCAGAGCCGACGACCTACAGCCAGGCAACCGCACTCCAAGCAATGAACGAACATGACCAAGACAGCAGTTCGGCTGCAACCTCGGAGGACGATGATGACAGCGGCGAGAAGACGAGCAACCCCGAGAACACAAGCGAAAAGGAACCCGCGAGCAAGCAAGCCAGCGACGTCGTGAGTCGCAAGACTCGGTAGCCCTAGATACATCTTGATACCAAGACTAATACCGGGTATTTCACAGGATGACCACGAGGACTGGAGTTGAAGCGCGTTCATGACAGAAAACCGTCCCAATTCCTCACCTTTCAGATGCGGGAGAGCGCGCAACCTTCAATGGAGCAGCCCGACAAAGGGGGGCCACAAAGGGGGGTTCCGCCTCGGCGGAGGGTAGCCCCGCGAAGAGACTGAAGCGAGAATGATCGCTACGAGCGACGTTGTGAGTCGCAAGACTCGGCAGCCCTGGACACATCTTAATACCAACTTTGGAAGACTCAGGAATGATGTACGACGGAGTTCAACACCTTCCTGAAGTCAAAACCTGGGTGGCTAGTAGGGGCCTGGCACGATTTATAAAAGAACGTGTGTCTTTATGACTATTAGAATCCTCACGTTGGGCAGTCGTTCAATGACGTAACCGTTACCACTGCACACATCACAGCGACATACCTAGGTATACATCAACCCTACAACTAACACGCCCGAAACATACCAAAAATCCCGTAAACACATCCCAAACATCCAAATCACCGCCAAAATGCCACATCCAAGCCTCGAATACACCACCGTCCAACCCCCCTCATCCACCTACCCCCAAAACGCCACCCACAACAACACCTCCGGCACCGACGCCTCCGTCCTCGACCGCCTCAAGATTCGTGAAATCTGTGAAGGCTGGGGCATGTACCGCGACGCCGCCGAGTGGCAAAACTACTCTTCCATGTTCCACCCCGGCGCCTACATCACAACATCATGGACGCAAGGCCGGCTCGACGACTTCATTGCATCCTCAAAAGAAGGCTTCGAGAAACAAACTCCGCATGGCCCGTTTCCATATATTCTGCATCGCATCTGTGGCCAGACGGTCGATGTACAAGGCGACAGAGCGATAAGTAAAATGAAAGTTACGATTACATGTCGCATCATGTTTGATGACATCGAAATGGACAACGAAGCCGATACCCGCTTCTTCTTCTTCCTTTCCAAGAACGAGGTTGGGAAATGGGGTGTAGATTTCATGACGCTGCTGTTCGATAAAGATAAGATGGTTCCCGTGGTGCCGGGCAAGGCGTTCAATGTACCTGAGGAAGAGGTCAGGCAGTATCCGAGTGGGTATCGGTATCTGGCTTGGGCGGAGAGTAAGGCGGGGAGGCCGCCGAAGATGGACTTGAATGCGCATGGGCCGGAGAGGGATGTGCTGTATGGGAAGTGTAAGACTTGGTTGGAGGGTGGGGATGTTAGGCCGAATCTTACGGGGGAGGATTTGGAGGAGTGGTAGATTGTGGTGTGTGGATGATGGGTGAGGGAATGGTCACGAAATAGTTGATGATTCTTTGAAGAGCAAAAGGGCAGTAGATAAAGACTTGTACAACATGTCAGTGATACTTGACGGGTAAAAGTAATAGCCATTAACTCCCATGAGAGTCGAACTCATAACCTTCACGGTTCAAGCGGGCCTTCCATCCCGAACGCGTCCGTTCAAAGATGTAGGCGACGCTTGAATAGAAGCGTGATGCGCTACCATTGCGCCAGAGAGTCTTCCTTTCACTTATGACATATTCCATATTCTAATGACCCATGTATCAGGCTCCTCTGTCCAGGATAAACAAGGCCAGTCATCTGCAACGCTGTGGTCTCTACGCGGTATCTTCTACCTTCACACCCTTCTGCTTCTTCTCCACCGGCTCTTGCTTTACCACTACCTCCTCCTGGTCAACCGGCTCCTGCGGCGTCTGATCGCGCTTCCTCTTCTTAGGCTTACGCTTAGGCTTGGGCTTAGGTGTCGGCGTATCAGGTGTTTGCGGTCTATCCTTCGGAGCAGCCACAGGCCTCGGTTGCGGCACCTCAGGAATGATATTGTAATGCTGAAACATTGGTGTCCTAGGCATGAGTCGACGTGTTAGTTTGTCGTGGTATACCGCACCTGCCTCCCCGAAGATGGGGCTGTCGAAGTTGTTGGTTTCTATAGCTTCGAAAATTTCATCAATGTCTTCCTGTGGTCGGGGGACGATTTGAACTGGTGGATGGTTGACGGGCGTGGCCGTGGGTGTTGGACATTGAGGGGGAGTGCCTGACGTTGGATGATGAGCTTGGGGAGACTCCTGCGGACGTCGATCACCTGTTGGTGATGCGGCCTCTGGGGAGGCTTGGCTGGCTGGCATTCGCTCCGCAGGTGCCTGCGGTGGAAACAACTGATCATACAGTGGCGGTGGGGACGGCATACTCAGTGTAATCGTAGGTAGGTTTGATAGAACACTAGTCGCACTTGCATCTTCCCCACTGCCCAGACGAGCTTCACCGTCTGCAGACGGTGCAGGCATCTGTGCGTCTGTCTGAGTATCACAGACCTGAGGCGAAGAGTGAACAGCTTCGGAGACATGTTGCGAAGTCGCTACTGCTTCTTCTGGGGATTGCCTATCGGATTCGCGGGCGGTTTCCATCGAGTGTAGATACCTTTAGCCGTTGGAGTTGTAGAGTTATGAGTTGCGGAAGTGGAGCGCATTGGCTGGTCAAGATTAAAGTGAGAATCAAGCGCGTTCACTAAGCCGGTAGCTGGGATGTGGACGAGCCTCGAGCATTCACCAGGGTCAATGGTGACTCAGCGGCTGATTAAGAAAGTACTATTCACTTCCACTTGAGTTGGAAGCGCTTTGAACGGGTCTTGTTTGTGCGTCTGGAAGGTAGTAGGCACATCAAGTGGCCAGAAGAATCTGCCACGGCTGCCCCATCTGGAAAGAACGGTGAATACGAAGAATGCCATCCCGGCCGACGTCGATTTCACGTGACCAGATACAACTGATCTATGCGCACGTCATAGATTGAAAATATTTGTTCGAAGACGAAGTTGATGCATGCTGACATGAGGTCGATGGGCGGGAAAAATGCTGCATCGCGGTGGTGCGAGCTTTGCGCCATCACGGACCAGCCGAGCCGAAGACTTCCCTACACCACGGGAAGCCATGCGACAACTTCAGTACTTTCGCAAAAGACTGTGCTGCTCGAAAATGGAGATGACGGAAGATGGTGTAAAGGTCTGAGATGGATTGTGATGGAACAATGTCGAGGTACGTGAATGGCGATCGATGATGCGGCTAGATTTTGACCGACCAATCAGCAGCGACTTGCTTCAAGACGAGCACATCGACGACTTCAATGGCCCTTTCTTCTATCGCGTCTTCAGTGAGCACAGTGCAACATCTTACCAATCAAGATCCTCATTCGGCCCATGTCTGTTCCAGTCCAGGTGTGACTTTTCGTATGCTCATCTGAGTCTGGATTGTATAGAAGAACACCTTCGTCTTCGCGACTCACAAACTAGTCCTTTCATAACGGTCTTTAGCGACTTCGGTAATCTTTGTCGCCTTACCGTATGACTTGCGTGCTAACTGATAACAGCTGCGGCGTTACGTGAAGCGTTTGACCTCTATGGTCGAGGTCATGAAGCTGTCCAGGTAGTTCAGATCCAGGCTTCAGGCCTGGTGACCGATCTCGTAAGCCCAGCCGGCAATCACAGTGCTCTGATACCTTCATGGCAAGGCACAAAAGGTCGGATAGACCGGTGGCTATGCATGGCTGATCTTGGACCAACCCTCGGTGTCGACCCCGTATACATTCGCTCTTCAGAATGGCTGGCGTGCGGTTCAATATCCAAAGCTCGGTTCTCAGCGGCCTGGCCGATCATTGGAGGACGACTGCAGTTCAACGAAGGAAGGAGCGAAGACCTGGTCGACTTGTTTGCGCGTATATGCGGGCATGTGCCAGAACGTTTCCCAGAGCATGATGTGTCCGAGCGATACGAATACGACTGGGAAGGCGAATGCTTTGTTAGAGCTGAACGTTGGGGCGATGCGAGCGCGTCGATCCAAGAAACGAGCGTGGCGGGCGCGGGACTGGGGCTAGGACTTGCAGTTTCACAATTTGCGCGACCGACGCC